CCCGGGAGGCTCCTGTGCCCTGCTGTCACCAAGTCAGCCCGGCTCCTGCACATCGTGGGAGCTCTGGGGCTCATGTGGCCCCCAGGCGGGTCCTGTCTTCTCCAGTCCTGACGATGGGAGCCGGGCCACCCGCTGTGGGCTGTTGGGCCCACCAAGCAGCCTCTGCAGAGCAGTCGGCTCGGCAGGTGCTCAGGAGGTTGTGTCAGCTCCTGGCTTGGTTGTGAGCACAGCCGAGGGCCGTTTACCCCTTCCACTTGAGGGTGACCGAGTAGGCGTGGACACGATTTGGGTGCAGGGGACGCATGGCTGCATGCCTGGGCGTGGGCTGAGTGCAGGGAGGCAGGCAGCCCAGGGGCCTGTGGGGCAGCGGGAGGCCGGCGCTGGCCCAGGAGAGAGGATGGACATCCTGGAGCATTGGCAGGGGGTGCTGGGCCCAGAGAGTGCCGGAGCCCAGGCAGCGGGGACAGCACCTGGGTCCAGGGGCCAATAAGAGCAAGGCTGCGGGGGGAGGGGGGAGCGTGAGCTGGGAGGGACGGGCTGGCCGGGTCGCACAGGCCTGTGGGGGCCCTGGAGAGGAGATGGGCACCGTCCTACAGGTGGAGGACTAGGAGGGGCTCTGAGCCAGGGGGGCACGGAGGTGGAGGGTGGGCGCTGGGGGCCCTAGGGCTGCAGACAGTCATTCTAGGATATTTCCCTGGCTGAAGGCGGGCAGGCCTGGGTGCTTCTGCAGGGGGCAGTGGCTGAGGGAGGTGTCTGCCGGGACAGGTCTTCTCCCCGCTGAAGAGACCCAGCTCTGTGGGTCGAGCTGGGCACACAGACTTCCTTGTGTTCCTCTTCCGGTGACCTTTCTACGCATTTATACAAGTGACTCGCTTTGTGCGGCGAGTGTAGGCTTGTTGCTCGGTGGCTTTCAAATTATTCATTCAGCAAATGTGCTGAGCAGGAGTTATAAGCCAGGGGATGGGCTAGGGCAGCCCTTGGGTGGACGGAAGGGCCCAGGGTGGGGGTCTCGGCCTCTGTGAAGCTGCCTGACTGCGCAGCCTGAAGGGCTTTTCCTGTCTCCGTGGCCTGTCCTTCCTCTGCAAGGCCTCTGCCACACTTGTGCACCTGGTGGGGGGAGGTGACACCAGGCCGGCCCACTCCCTGCCCTGCCTGAAGCCCACTCTGCCTGTCTGCTGGGTGTTCCTGTCTGCTGGGTGTCCCCGTCTGCAGGGTGTCCCCGTCTGCCGCTGCCCAGTGTCATGGCTCCCTCATTCCCTGTCCCCCCCCTCCCTGTCACCTCCCCTTTCTCGGCCTCCTCTCTCCATGCCGCTTCCCTGTCACTCCGCCCTCCCCTTCGCTTTGCCACCCCCTCTCTGTCTCCCGTGGAGGAGGCCCGAGGGACCCCAGCTCTTTCGTCTGCTGGCCCTGATGGACTTGTGCTAGGGGAGGAGCTGCCCTTGGCCCTGAGGACCTGTGTCTGCCTCTGGACAGCTGCTGTCACTGACCCCAGGCCTGGGCCGCTGTCACTGCAGAGGTGCATGGTACCGTAGCCCTACCTGTCCTGTGCGTCTCTGCGCCCAGGTTGTGGGGTGCTGTCGGGGCCGAGTGAGTGCAAAGCTCATAGATCATGTGGGGAAACAGAGGCACGGAGGTGAGCCCCAGGCCCGGTTGGTTCCATGCACAGCACTTGCTGTGTGGCCTGAGACAGGTTGCTTGCTTCTCTCTGGGCTTTGGTTGCAGTTTCCATGAAATGGCAACCGCGGCTGCTCTGTAAATTATAAAGCCCTGTGCGTTCATGCACAGACAGTGTGTTTAACAAGCACGTTCCCGACTCCCTCTGCCTCTCCCGCCCTTGTCACAAAGGCTGGAGGTGCCGTCGGCCACTTTGCAGCTTCCCTGAGAGTGCCCTGGGCAATAGTTGGGCTGACTGGATCTTCCTGGAAATGCTAAGGAACATTTCCACAGAAGTGCCTGCTTCCCTGTTACAGGGCACTGCTGGTTACCCCACTTTACTGAGTGACTGACCGATCGATTGATTGAGGTACTAGTGAGTGAATCCAGGCCTTCATAGTGAGCTCCATCCCCAGTCCTTTTTTATTGTGAACCAGAATCTCACTAAGTTGCCCAGGTAGTATTCAAACTTGCAATCCTCCTGCCTCAGCCTCCCAGAGTGCTGGGTTTATCAGTGTGCACCACCACACCTGGCTCCCCTTTCCTCAGTGTGAAAGGATGCTGAAGCTGCAGCAGTCACCTTGGGACAATGAGGCAACAAACCAGGAGAAAAATCCACACCATGATGGTGGCAGTTCAGAAAAGGGAGAGTGCGGGTCCTCAAAGCACCTGGGAGCCGTTGCGCCAGCTCTGCTGTGCCGGCTTCAGAAAACAAACCCCAGTGTATTAAAGCCTTGGTAGCTGGGTAGTAAGTTTCTCGCAGCTAAATGTATTTGTCACTGATATAATTAGTGAGATATTCATTCATTTTAGTGATAATAAAAAACAGTAAACAAGAGAAACTTGTCTGTGTTACTCAGGACAATGGGTAGCAATAGTGTACACCGTGCACACACACAGAATATAGTTATCATGTATGTTCGTGTATGTTTTTGTCTTCTTTTTGGTTTTTGAGACAGGGTTTCGCTATGCAGTTCAGGCTGGCCTTGAGCTCACTTTATAACCCAGGCTGGTCTTGACCTTGCAGCAGTCCTTCTGCCTCAGCCTCCCAAGTGCTGCGATTACACCCGGCTGTGTGTTCATGTAATGTATGTGTATGACTACTAACAGGAGGCACTGCGAGGAATATCTGAAGAACTGGGCCTTCTTGTCCTGCAGGAGGTCTGGGGCAGCGGGGAGCAGCAGAGATGTTACCTACAGGACACACAGGTAGCCCACTTCCTCCCCGACTCTGTTGTCATGCGTGGGGTGGTGGGGAGCCAGAGCCCAGAGAGAACTTGAGCCCAGTGGATTCTAGGTGCAAGGCGGGGTGCACTCTACCCTGCTGAGCTGGGAGCTGGGAGGCTGCAGAGGGCCGGAAGCGGCTTCCAACCTCCTGAGGTGCCCTCCTCACGGAGGGCCTGGGAGCCTGTGGCCCCGGTGGGCTGCAGCAGGAACCAGGAGGCTGGCATCCAGTGACACTGGCATCTCCCTGCTCGGCCCACAGCCCCGCGGCTCTGTGTGACCCAAGGACTTCACGGCCCTGAGGGAGAGGGGCGGGCATGGAGGGCAGCTGAGGTTGACTTCCCTGGGCAGCCTGGGGCCTTCAGATAGAAAGTTGATCAAAAGCAAATAACAGATGCTCTGTTTCTTGCACATCTATGAGTGGAGCTTCACATTCATCTTGTAGTAATTTTAGATAACGGCATATGTTTATGATTTACAAAATTCCACACAAACGGTACAGGAGTATGGACAACATTAATCTACATTATTTGTAAGCAGCAGCATAGGGTTCTATGGAACGAATATTCTACTTTTTTTGTGTGCGCTACTGTGAATTGAACCCAGGGCCTTTGTGCCCAGCTATTTATTTCCATTTATTCATTGAGTATTTTTATTTTGAGACTGTCTCAGTAGGTTGCCAAGTTGCCCAGGCTGGCTTGAACCTGCACATTCCCGGTGTGCACGGCTGTGCCCAGGTGAATGTTCTACAGTTTATTTAATGAGTCTCAACCGATGCGCATGTGTGTGGGTGTCGGTGCTTTGTTACTGTTTTCGCTGTCCCCAGCCCCTGGCTGCTTCTGGCCACTTGCAGGTCGCAGGAGGATGCGGGTCCAGGGCCCGGCTCCTCTGCATTCTCAGCGTTGCCCCAGGCTGAGGCTGGTGCTCCAGATCTCGGTCTCCCCAGCCGCAGTATGGGGATTGTACTAGCACCTGTGCCTGTCATTGAGGGCATCTGTAAAGGGTCTGGCACCGCACTGGGCAGAGTGGGGGGCAAAGGAAAGGTGGCTCTTCCCTTTCTCTGGCTGTCAGTCCTTGACTGACAGAGAAGCTAAGCAAACAGATAAAGTCACTTCACCCTTCCCTGTGGAGAAGGGCATCTGCCCTTCTCCAGGACATAGGGAGAAAAGCAATAACAGAAGCCAGTGTTTCCAGCCAGGAGCAAGGAGCTTTAATTTCTGTCTCCATGGGCTTGTGCACAGGAAAGAAATTCACAAGAGAAGGGCAAGGTAGAGCCCTTGAAGCCCAGTCTGAGCCTCCATTCCCTTAGTGTATGTTGTATTTCTCTATGTAACCCTTCCTCCTGTCTTCCCTCCCTGCCTCCCTCTCTCCCTTCCTCTTCTTCTTCTTCATCCTTGTCCTCACCTTCCTCTTCTTCTTCCTCTCTTTCTCTGATTGACACAGGGTTTTCCTATGTATTGCCTTGAACTCACAGCAGTCCTCCTGCCTCAGCCTCCTGAGTGCTGGAATTACGGATGTGCATGTATAGCTTTTATTCCTGGGTGTAATT